AACCCTAGCGTGACCGTGTACTGCTAAAGCCCTAAACCCTAGGCAGTCTTCGCCCTATCCTAGGGGCTCGAGTTCTAGTTGTTCTCTTGCTACCCAGGGGTGTGCCAATCATTCCTTCCCTTAATTGCAGCCTTTACTTATTCTATAAAGAAATTACCGAACTAATTTAATTAATAACAAAATAAATAATGTTGTGATCCTGGGCAATTTCGAAGTGCACATTCGTCAGAAAGTACAATGTCGTCCAATTGCAAAAAGAAATGAATGAACTTGAGAGGAGAGAGAGGGAGAGAAGAAGAAGAAGAAGAAGAAAGAAAGAAAGAAAGAAGAAGATGATGTACACCAGCATAGACCAATGATAATGGTCTTCTTCTTCGCCAACACTCTCCTCCTCCTTATCTCCTCCCTTCTTATTCAAACAAGAAATAATAATAATAATGTTGAATGGCTGAACCAGAATCAATGTCCAAATCCCTCTTCTACTGCAGGTATCAGATAAGGTCGACCATAGCCATGGCCACCCCTCTCCGTCCTCTTCTTGAAGTCCTAGGCTATGGCGGACTGCTAGGGCCTTGCCCTGATGCGGAGAAGACAACTCAAGCAGCTATGGCTGCTCTAGCTCAGGCCGCCATGCCTGACTCTGCCTCGAAGCTTCTTGGTGTAGCTCTACCCCCTGCTGGGCCCTTCTTGCTGCAGCGCCCACCAAGGTGATGAAGATGGCAACCACCATAGCCAGGTAAGTACCTCTGGTGCTCCTCCCTTCCCAGTCCTTGTCTTACTTCTCCCCATGTCCTACTCCAAGCTAGCTCTGCTCCAGCCAGCACTCCAACCAGTGTGTCGCCAAACTTGCACACCGACAATGAGGGGGAGCTCCTTGCTCCTCCTGGAGATATGGCGGTGTAATGACCCACCAAAACACAGACTGAGAACACTGCTGATTTCTGGGATTTGCCGCTGGAATGAATGCCTTGCTGAGATTCCCGCATTCTGCTGTGGTTTCCAAGTCTGTGTGTGTGCGTGCCTGCTGGGTTGCGTGCCTGTCTGAGTGCTTGTCGTCTGAGTGTGTGTGTGACCCGCAAGGGTACTTGTTGGTTGAAAGGCCCCGCAGGGCCGGCACTTACCTGTGGCCGTGACTTTGAGGGTTGCAGTGGGGAAAACACTCAAGTAGCGGGGGTAGGCCCACGGCACTTAGAGCAGCGGGAAAAACACTCAAGTAGCAGGTAGGCCAGTACCACTCAAGTAGTGGTAGAAGTGTCGGGTACTGGAGGCCGAGCAGAAGAAGACAAAAGTTGGCATTTTTAGAGGTAGGTTAGAGGTAGGCCGGTACCAGTCTAAGTAGCCCGAGTCTAGGGCCTGTCCGGACGATAGCAGAGCCTGCAATGATGTTTCCCTCTGAAAGGGAGGAGGTACCGGTTGCTGGGAGGCCGCTCGGCCTAGGAAGTCACCGCCCAAGAGGCCAGTAGGCTGCTATATCTTCCGGAGGAGCAAGCAGCTCCTCCTCATTTGCGGTATGCAAGGATTGGCGACATGCTGCTGGAGCGAAGCGCTGGACTTGGGCAGCGCTGCCTGGAGGTGACGAGCAGCTGGGCACTCAGCCTGGCTGTGGCGAGCAGCCCAGCCTGAGGAGGAGGAAGAAGGGGCCGAAGGAGGAGAGTGGTGAGGTACCTACCTGGCTATGGTGGACACCATCTTCATCACCTTGTTGGGCGCTGCATCTGGAAGGCCCCAGTTGGGGTAGTGCCGCACCAAGGAAACTCGAGGCAGAGTCAGGCAGCATGGCGGCGTAGTCAGCAGCGGCATAGCTGCTTTGGGTTGTCCTTTGGACAGGAGTGCAGCAACATAGCTGCTTTGCGTTGTCCTTTGCACAGGAGGGCAGAGCCCTCAGTAGTCCGCCATAGCCCAGGCATGTGAGAGGTGGAAGAAGGGGGGAAACCATAGCTATGGTGGGCCTATTGTGATGTCAGCAGTAAGAGGGAACTTCGGATATCGATTCTGGTTCATCCACTCATTGCTATTTTTATTATTGGAAGAAGAATAAGATTGGCGAAGTGAAGGAGGAGGAGGAAGGTGGAGAGAGAAAGGGGATTTGTCATTGGTCTTGCTGGTGTACATCTTTTTCTTCTTCTTTCTCTCTTCTTTGGTCTCTATCTCTTTGCAAGTGCTTTCATTTCTTTCGCAATTGGGTGGCATTGTCTTTCATTGTGAATTTGCACTTTGGGAATGACCCGGATCGTAACAGCGGCCTGTTTGCCTCTTGGCGAGTGGCTTCCCAGGCCGCGCGGCCTCCAAGCAACCGGTACCTCCTTCCTTTCGGAGGGAAACATCAATGCAGACTCTGATATTGCCCGTATAGGCCCTAGACTCAGACTGGTTGGACTGGTACCCGCCTAGACCTAACCTACAACTTCTGGGCCTCTAAAAATGCCAACTTTTGTCTTCTTCTGCTCGGCCACGAGTACCCAGCACATTTACCTCTACCTGGTGTGGTACCGGCCTACCCGCTACTTGAGTGTTTTCCGCTCCTTCCAGTGTCACGGGCCTCTTTCCCTGCCGCTTGAGTGTTTTCCCTGCTGCAATCCTCAATGTCACAGCCACAGGTAAGTACTGGCCCTTCGGGCGTTCTGAACGAACCAGTGCCCTTGCGGGTCACACACACACTCAAGCCGACAAGCACTCAGACAGGCATGCAGACCAGCAAGCACGCACCCACACAGACTCAGAAAACTTAGCAACAAGCGGGAAACTCAGCAAGGCATACATTCCATGAGCACAACTCAGAATCAGCTGTGTGTCTCAGTCCGTGTTTGGCAGGTCATTACAGTAATAAACAGATCAAAGAGTTGAATTTGTACAATATAAGTAAGGAGCGTGACCTTGTACGATGACATGGCATGGCACCATGACACTGTCGTTGCTCTGCTGTGGCAGGTGACCTTCGCAGTTGCGGTTTTCCAGAAGCCATAGGAAAACGTACACTATGCTGCTCCATTGCATATCTCTGAACCAGTTACGTACTCGGTGCTGCTCGATATTGAATTCTCTGTGAATCCGTATCTGGACCATAATTTGATGACGATTCAGGAGCTTCGGGCAGGAGCATGACGACGTGGCATGTTGCTGGTATCGGACATAACACTGCTGCTGTGGGAATGACTGTGGACAGGGTCAACGAGCCACCCAGATGTCCAAGGCACAATCAAGTAACAACGACAAGATCACTGAAATTCTCTCACAACGCGCACACACACACACACACACACACACACACACACACACACACACACACACACACACACACACACACACACACACAC